TTTATTCTAGCTGAAATAAAACAAATAAGACTTTCTCCAGAAGAAAAAAATATTATCAGACATGCTGTGAAAATTTCCTTACTCTGTTAAAAATCATTTGAGAAATATGTAAAAAAGAAAAACAAATTCAAAGGGGGCTAATAATTCTGACAAACTGTATATGTGATTATTATTAGAGGTTATTAGGATTATGCTTTGATTTTTTAGAAACCAAATGTGCTGCAATAGATGTAGACTTACAGCACTGTAGAAGTCCACAAACAACAAGCAAGAATGTGGCTCGCCATGAAGCCATCATGGAGGAAGAGGGAAAGAAACTGTGGTCAGCCCTGCTCAAATGCATTGTACAGAGGCCACATGCACACTGCAAGGAAAGTAAACACGTAATTTTAAAGCATTGGTTTGGTTCAAATAAGTGTGTCGGGTTTTATCATGTATAAATTAATAAGTCTAAATAATATTTTCAAATTAAATTTAATTCTATATTATGAGTAATTTAATACATCAACTTAACTCAAAAACAACATAAATACCCCCAAAAAATAATAATAATTAATTTACTCATTTTCCTTGAGCTTAGTCCCTTTATTCATCTGGGGTTGCCACAGTGGAATGAACCGCCAACTCATCAATCATATGTTTTACACAGCGGATGACTTTCCAGCTGCAACCCATCACTGGGAAACACCCATACACACTCATGCAAACACATACACTACGGACAATTTAGTTTATTTATTCACCTAACGCATGTCTTTGGATTGTGGGTAAAGCGGAGCACCCGGAGGAAATCCACATGAACAGGGAGAACATTCAAACTCCACACAGAAATGCCAACTGACCAGCGAACTTCTTGCTGTTATGCGACAGTCCTAACCACTGAGCCACAGTGTCACCATTAAATAATAATACATATGCAAGCTACATATACAGCCTAAACTAATATAAATATACAGATGTGGACAAAATCGTTGGGACCCTTTCATTAAAAAAAAAAAAAAAAAGCAACAGCGCTGAAATACCTTAAAAAAGTAATGAATAATCAAAAACGACTACAAAATATGCCTTTAAATTGTGGTTCAACTGAAGCGTTAATGAAGACAAACTGAAACTGCTCTGGACAAAAACAGTACCAGCATCTGTACATTCATACATACGCATACATTTTTGATTATTTTAGCTTAAAGTATCTTTTAAAATAAACAGAGAAGTCTTAAATCTTACCTTAATAATATTCCCATTGAACCAATTTACAAGAATGAATATCCAAAATGATCCAGTTTATAATCAAATAGCAGTTGTGCATAGCATGGTGACATTTACACTGTGTCAATCTGCCCATCTACACGCACAGTCAGAGAGCTTGTGAAGAAAGACTGAGTGGATGTGGTTGTGGTAAAGCAGGCGCATACTAGGCTCCGCCTCCATGAGACCAACTAAGGACTTTCCTGTTGTGTAGACGTGACTCTTCGGGGGCTTGATAAAAGAAAAATGCAGCGTCAAGATGTTCACATTTCAGATTACTGTAACATAGAAATGATGACCTGGCATGAAATTGAAACTATAAATAAAGTCAGTGATGATGTTTGTGATTTTATAATGCTGAAATAAACAAACTATTACAAAAATATTAGCCCTCCTGTGATTTTCCCTTTCTTTTTCATATATTTCCTAAATTATGTTTAACAGCGGAAGACAATTTCACAGTATTTCCCATTATATTCTTTCTTCTGGAGAAAGAGTTGTGTTTTATTTGGCTAGAATGAAAGATGCTTTAATTTTTGAACCATTTTTGGTCAATATTATTAGCCCCCTTAAGCAATGTTATATTTTTTGATTGTCTACAGAAGGGGTTCCCGAACTTTTCAGCCCACGACCCCTAAAATAACAATGTTAGTGACTTGTGACCCCCAAAATCCTCTTAGGTGGTTATAAATATGCAAGCGTTGCACATACAACAATAGGAACTACAAAACATTAGCATATTGACAACAGAAACAAGTCTATTCTTGGTTTAATTTTGGAGACTGCTATAATCAGAGATCATCCTCAATGTTCAGTTGTGGTCTGTATTAATATTTAATGTATTTGACTGCCATAAAGGTGTCAGAGAGTTTACCCTGGTGCTATAATATCAATTTGCTGCAGCTGACGCTATTGCTGAGTTGTTAATCTAACGTAAACACACTAATCTTGTGAAAAAAAGTAATTTAAGGGCTGACGGATTTTCATTTGCATGTTGTTGCTTTTTTCTACTATTTTATCTTCTGTGGGTTATGGATAAAATAAAGTGATTCTTATAGTTTAAGAAAACTGTTTGACTTTTGGAAATCACCAAGCGACCCGGTCAATGTCCCGCAACCCTCCAGAGCGTCCCGACCCCCACTTTGCGAACCAGTTGGCTGCGTCCGAAACCGCCTACTACTCATTAGGTACTGCATTTGAATTTAAACTTACTACTCAGCCGTTAGAAAAGTATGTTCTATAAAGTATGAATGTGAAAAGTACGAATGGAAGTCGGACGTACTACACCTGCCATTTTGTCATGGTCATGTGACCTACCTGCGTCATTTGCACTGCTTCACTTCCATTCATAAATTGGCTTGCGGGGCATCATAGGATAGAGCAGCGTGCATGGAATGCGCACTTCAGAATCTCGCTGGAAGTTATAAGTCATCCGGATACTTCTCGCATACTGATTTTCGAATTCTATGAATTCGGACATACTACTCGGCTTGCATACTGATTTTAGCTTACTGTATAGTATGGAAGTATGCAGTTTCGGACAATATTATCTGGATGCAGCCTTTATGATGCAGGCTGAGATTGCATCACTCAGCGATGCAATGTCAGACACAATGCACTCAATGGAGTGAGTGACGTCAGTGTGACCGGTAGGGTTAGGGGTGGCGTTAGGTGAGCACATTAAAAAGCATTGGATGCAGCTCACATTGCACTGTACCGAGTCTGCAGCCAGACCCCTCTTTTTTTCGGTTCTTCTTCTTGGTTTTATGGAGCGTTGTGAACCAACTTTAGAGGTGCATATCATCACCTACTGTGATGGAGTGTGAAAAGACTGAACTTTAATTTCTATTATAAGAATTAAAAGTTCTATTTTATAATCCACTATAATTGAATCTTATAATTGCCTTAATTTGTCTCCCTGAATTTAAACCATCTTTTAAAAAACCTTTTATTAAGAAATCCTGATATCCTAAGGTATGCAATTCCTCTTTAAGATTTCTCTTTTCATTTTTATATGCTTTGCATGGAACCACTGGTCTACAGAACAAACTACATGACCTCACATGGGTTCCTGGTTGCAAAAAAAAGACCGGTTGCAACAGCAAAAATGGATGGCGAATTTGAAAAATAGAAAACATAGCTTTTACCGTACACCACACTGCTTTTAATGCCAACCACAGACGTCTTTGACTAAAAGGGAGCTGAATGGAGTGAGGACCCAATTAAAAATGCTTGCCTCTGCAGTTCTCATTTGAAATCAGGTAAGTTCACGCTATGCTAAATCATACACATTACTCTCTGCTGAGTGCAGCAATGATTTCTGCAAAAACACTTAAACATGGTGAATTAAACTGCGGACACTGAATGCTAAGAATGAAATGTAAAAATGTACGTTCACATGCCCTGCCCCACAGGTGCAGTTCACTGTAAGAATGCAGTTCGTTTGCTTGCTGATGATTGTCCAGGCCTTGTACAGTTCCGACTTCTTTCCTTGTCTTTGGCTAGGCAGAACCTCGGTTTTTAGCACTACAAAGTTTTGAATCTGGTAATCATGGAAGATTATTTATTTCGCATGACCACACAGAACAACATTGTTAGCATCCAAAGACTTGTAGGCCTTTAACTTCTTTCTTGTAAAATTACTTGGAGCTTCAATGAGATTGTATATTTCGGGCAGGATGCTTGGCCATTTTGTCTTATCCAATATTCATTGGAAGGGTGCTATCCCAAATGAACCTATCAGACAAAAGCCACTCACTTTAACATTAATTTTACCGAATAACTGTGCTTATCACTTGGTGACAAGCTGTTATAATGGGCTGAAAGCATTATGTAAATTATATATATATATATATATATATATATATATATATATATATATATATATATATATATATATATATTATGTAATCAATATAACATCTCTACAACAAAAAACTCTGTAGCGCATCGGATGTCATTCCCTCGCTGTAAATGCTAGCGCTCCCATTTTTTTTTTTTTCTGCAACCTCGCTGCGCGCATCCTGAACGTTTATAAACAAGTAATTTGTCTATTTACAACAACTAGCCTAATTAACTTTTCCTAACCTGCCTAATTAACATAATTACCTTTTAAATTGCACCATAAGCTGAATACTAGTATCTTGAATAATTTCTAGTAAAATATTTATCATGGCAAAGATAAAATAAATCAGTCATTAGAAATGGGTTATTACGTTTAGAAATGCTTTGAAAAAATGCTCTCCGTTAAACAGAAAGTGGCAGGAAAAAAAATCTAAAATAAAACTAATTTATAATATTTCAAACCTTACTTGTATATTTAAATATCAGACTGTGTTTTGAACAGACTATTATACTTAATTTATTCACGTACATAACCATGTTTACAACGAAAGTTTCTGTAAAAGGCATAAGGGCTAGACATCATATAGCTGTCTAAATAACGCCTGACTAAAACTAAAAGTAGAGTATCTTTGCACTTACTATTTGTGGGTGGTGATTAAAATGTGTTATTCCACTAATTACAACATATAAACGAGTATGGTTTGAATTATTTCATTAATCAGTTAATTGTACGTGGTTAACCTTAAATTCAAGGTTCAGGTGAAATCCATCAGCTTGTGTTTATTGGAAATACCACGCGGTTAATTAGCATGTATTTTAAAGAAACATTTCACTCGTTTGGCCCGGTATACATGGACTTAGTTAAAACTTACAGTCAGGCATCTGAATGCGCTTACACGGGTCCTAGTTATCTTGGGTAAATGTCTGTGTTTTCTTTTTACCAGGAGGGAAACTTCGCTAGATTTTTGCATTGAGCTTGACGCGAATTCCCAGTTAAACAGCTGCTAATTCAGAGTACGGCACTCATCTTGGCTGAAAAGGTACGTCTGACGTGAAAATGGAGTTTATATTGGGCGTTCGCTGTAGTTTGCGGTGTTTTTTTGTTTGCGGTTCTTGTTAGCTAGCCGCTATGCTAGGCTAGCAGCCGCTCCACACCGCACACAACGAATCAAAAAACGCCGCGCGCACGTGTTATAATATAGTAATTGCACACATTCGGCTCAAAGTACAGTGTTTGCGCTATTTAAAGCGGGCAGCAAATCGAAACAAGCGTGGTTTGGCTCAATCCGCGAGTGAAGTGCGCAGTGAGGATGCTGGTTTGCGGCATCGCGCTGAAAATGCGCATCTGACAGCTCTAGCCATTCAGTGCGCATTATTTTCTTAATCCTGTTATCAAACATGGAGCAGTTCATTCATTACGGAAATTGATTCCCTCGAACTAACTACAGAACTATATAAATCATTAAAGTGGTTCGGATATATATATGTGTTTTTTAATTTGCGCTTTCTGCCTTATTCGTTCGTGCATTGTTCTCTCTCTCTCTCACTTCGTTTTCATTATATATTCATTTTGCGCAATTTAAGTCCCGCGATGTACGGTTAGTCTTTTTGTTATCGTGGCTATCATCAACTCGTCTTAGTCATTTTAACGGAATTGTTAACTTTAATGTTTCGTTAAACGATCGGTTTTAGGATGTGTTAATTTCTGCAAACATTATGAGAAAGGAATGCATACTCCTATCCCTGGTCACTATTGTTATTTAGGTGTACGCGTGTTGCGTATACATGTGTAATAACTGTCAGGTCATCTTAAAGTAGCCCTTAGCACGGGCTATTTTATAAATAAATAGTGTAGATCTTATTTTGAACAGCTCGTCTGCATTTGAGTGTTTTTTTTTTTTATTAATGTATGTTAATTTTGAAATATAAAATTAAAATGGCCTGTTTAATCTCTTAACCATGACACCAGTTTCACCCCAATTTTATTATTTAATACTATTTATATACATGTAAACATGGTCTGATATAATATTCTGATGGTATGGTAAACTTTGATAAAAAATATCATGGTTTATCAGGTTCAGAGTATTGTGATTACTGCTCTAAAATATGATTTTCACTTGAACATCATTAATTTTATTTTAAGAAACATGTCAAATATTTTGGAACAGTTGCTTCTGATCTGGAGGGTCCTTTTCTGCTGGAGATACTGTTGCCCTTAAAAACAACAACAACAAGTATTATAGGAATGGTATAACTAAAGTTTTAGGGTTTTAAAACCTTGACTTCAAGTTGAGTAAACCCTGTAACCGGTTATCATCTTATGCCTAATGTAAACACCAAGTTCTGGTTTATTTGTGTGTAATTTAAGTGTTGGGGATCTTTAAAAATGTAATACTTTGAAATCTTTGGAGAAAGTGTAAACATTAAAATAAGCTATTTGAAATGGGTTAATGGATATAATAGGATACATGACACAATGTTTTACTATGATGAGTATAAGTAATGCATAAATATAAAAATTAAGTTTCAAATTTTCTATTAATTGAAAATGGAGTCATCTCATGGAGGTAATCCCTATGAATAAATGCAAGAATGAAAATAAATGTGCATTACATTAACACATGCAAATGATTGATAATGTCAAATCAAAATGTAAAATAAATAAATAAATAAATAAATAAATAATTATAAAAGATATTTCCCAAATAGTATTTGAGCCACATTTAGTATTTGTCACATTGATGCTTTACATATTGATCTGGGGGTCCTGGCTAGGCCTGCCACAATATCTATTTTTTGTTTAACGATATATTGCATGATTGCGATTAAACAATATAATTGTCATTTTAAGACTATTTTATGCCACCCATTATATAATAACAATATCATCACAATGCAAGTATGAATCTTTCAACTAATTCTAGTCATTTTAACAATTTTAAACTGAGGCTTTGGAATCAGAATGTAAAAATGCATATCCTAAACAAATAATGTTCACAAAAAAAGTGTAAGGTAAAAAGTAACAGAGGCTTTGATATCTGCTACCAGATCTATTTTCAGTTGTCAGACACACACATGAACATATACTAAAGTAATTTATAATAAATACTATAGTGTTTTTTTTTTTAAACCATACAGACAACTGACACCTCCAATAGAGATGGCAATCAGCTAAAATGTTTATGTATGGGCGATATACATTTGCGTAATCCAAATTTTATAGGTCATTCTTCCATGTGTTGTGCGATAAGTCGATAAATTGATTATTGGGACAGACCTTGTCCTGGCATTATGGTGGTCATATTTAAGGTTCCTACATTTGAAGTGTTCAAGTGTATAATCTAATTTAAGATGAAGGGCCCATTTCTCAAGATCTCATTAACAACTGATTAGTCCTCCCCAAAACCCCAACCTAAACCCCCCAACCACCCGCCCTCAACCTAACCCCCTATTTATTTATTTTTCTGTTCAGCTCAAATCTGCAAGATCTGTCTACTTTTTATATCATCACAACCCTTAATAACATTATCAGCCTCTGAAGCCAGGAAAGCTAGATTTGATAAAATCTAATTTTAGCATCACTTTGTAATTTTTGCATTCGTATTTGTGCATCTAACATCACACTTTGATGTTTTCTAGATGCAAACTTTATTATTATTATTATTATTATTATCATTTCTTTTATTTATTTTTCAACTCATGATGTTGTTGATATTAATGGGGAAGTTGTCTTGTTTGTTTTGGTTGTTTTGACCTTCTTTGCACTGAAATGAGAGTGGCACTATTCCTCATTTTAGAAACCTCAGAAAGCGAAGAGAAATATTGGAAATAGGAAAACATGTCAGATGATCAGTCTGGCATTTAAAAGCGAAATCTTAACTGCTGAGAAAATTAGTATAGAAAAAGTAATATTGAAAGTTCTTTTTATCCTCTGTATACTAACACTCGTGTTGGTCGACTTGAGGACTGAGAACCAGGATTTATATGATTCAGTCAGATCATTTGTGTACTGACTGACATGTGAAATGTACAATCATTTTGTATTGGAACCATAAACCACAAAGCTTTGTTTGCAAAATGACCACAAAAATCAGTTTTCTTACACCATAACATTGAATCTCGCCAGACTTTCAGTCTTTCGCCTAGTGTGGTTTTAAGTTGCTTTATTTTAAGTTGTTGTTGTTGTTGTTATTATATTTTATAACACTTATAAATAAAAAATATATTAAAGTAAATTATACAAATTTGTATTTAAAGAATTTGACTTGATTAAATAAAGATTAGATGGAAGTAGATGCTTAATGAAAATATTGTAGTACTACATTACACAAGTTCACATGTATAGTAAGGAATAAATAAATGTATTAGTTTTAATGGTCAGTGCGAGGAGAGTCTTTCAAAAATAATACATTTATAAACGTAAAATAGTTATTTAGTGAGATTTTTGAAGTAAATTGGTTCTTGAGATGTTTGTGTATTTTTACAGCAAAACACAAGAATTGAAGCAAATAAGAGCATAAGTTGAGACAGAACGTCATAACAACAATAATGTTAGGATGATGATGATGATGATGATAAATTTTAAATAAAAAATGTCATGTCAAAATCCTAGAGGGACCCTTTTTTTCTAAAATGTGTATTGAATATGGATTGTGAATACTGAGGGGAAGTTGCATGCATACTGATAAGTTACAAGCATATAAAATTACAAGCATATTTTGATAACACTATTCATTTAAAAAAATTTTTTTCAGGTTTTCAATCATTTATTGGACCACAAGTCATGTCTGGTATAGCATTGAGTCGTCTCGCACAAGAACGAAAGGCTTGGCGGAAAGACCATCCTTTTGTAAGTCTGCAAAGCTGCTTCACATCCGTGATCGGAAACATTGCATAATTTCAGCTTTAGTTTAGTTTAGTTCTTATTTATTTTACACTTTAATCAAATTCAACCGTCCTTTAGATCTGCGACATGAAGCTCATAAAAAGACATTTTCTAAAAAGTTATTTTTAGAAGTGTTGTGTTCAACTTTCAGTGGAAAAGCAGTGAAGAGGTGGACTTTCCATTTTGTGGTGAAGAAAATGATATTTTAAGATGTCTCTCATTTTAATTAATTCTGCAGAGATGTCACTATTGAAAGTGTTGGGGGTGTATGTGCTCGCACAAACGAGGTCGTCCATCAAAACACTTTACAGTCTGACATTTTTCAAACTTTCACAGCCACCCACGGGGTTTAAAAAATATGTCTGTTCATGTTTATAATGTGCTAATTTATTTAATTATTTTAGGGGTTTGTAGCCGTACCAACAAAAAACCCTGATGGAACCATGAACTTAATGAACTGGGAGTGTGCCATACCAGGGAAAAAAGGGGTAAGTGCCAATTATTTTGGGTTTTAATTCAATATTCAAAATATACATCTTTTTTGTCAAAATACTTTTATATGTGTATTTTAAATATAAAAAAAAATCCCATACAAGATCTAAACTTTTGTTGTAGTAGTAGTAGTAGTTTACTTCAAGTGTGTATGTGTGTGTAATAATAATAATAATATTGTTATTATTATTATTATTGGTGTTTAAATATTGACAAAATAATTTTTTATATAAAGTATTTAAATAATAATTATAATGATAATTATTGTATATATTTGTAATAATTATATATATATATATATATATATATATATATATATATATATATATATTTTTTTTTTTTTTATTAATTAATTTTTTTTTAAATAATACATCACCTTTTTCTATTTAGACACCGTGGGAGGGAGGCTTGTTCAAACTTCGGATGCTTTTCAAGGACGACTACCCTTCCTCTCCACCAAAGTGTAAATCAGATGTTCAGTGGAGATGAAACTTTAATTTCCTCATCTTTGTTTGCTGTTTATTTAATTTATCTTAAAAATATAATGCGGAATTTGTATCCTGTGACTTCTCCAGGTAAATTTGAGCCTCCTTTATTCCATCCGAATGTATACCCGTCTGGTACCGTATGCTTGTCTATTTTAGAGGAGGACAAAGATTGGAGGCCTGCCATTACGATCAAGCAGGTAAGCGGTGAAGGTTGCTGCCCTGAAACCTTTTGTGAAACGATGTTAAATGAGCCATTTAATTGAAACATCCAATAACCAGGGTTTCTGTGGGTGTTGGTTTTAATTCAACCTTTCACAATTTATATCTGTGGAAAGGTCTTAAATACACAGGAGATGGTCTTAAATTTAAATGTCATGGCATTAAAGGTTGCATGCACTCCTTGCACTGCTAAGAAACATTTTATTTATTTATTTAAACGTTTAAAGATGTTTACTGATCAACATGAGGAAATTAAGTTTAGTATTCAGGGAAACTAAATGAGTGTGTTTAAGCTTAACACATGTCTGTCAATGAGCATTTTTTTGTGAAATTATTTTCAGTTCAAAATTCAGTGTAATTAATTTAAGTTCAGGGAGTACATTTTAGGGTGCATTCCTTTAAATGAGTCCTAGTTTTTTTTTGTTTTAATATATTTTTGTTCTACTGCAGGTTTTGCTAATATACTTATGCCTAATTTTCTTTTTTCTTTGTTTTTTTTTAAGGTGTTTTTTGCATCTAATAGTCAAGTAAATTATTTTTATTATTAATATTATAGAATATTTGAATTTCAAGAGTGGTGTTGTTGAATTTATTTAAATTTTATTTTACAGATTTTAGATAAACTGTGCAAAAATTTCCATAGTATCCCATACGTAAAAAGAAAAAGAAAAGCCAAGTATAAACAAAGCCCTGGCCTTGTTTACATTGTGGTTCTTGCTGTTAAAAAAATCTAAGTATGGCTGCAAAATGCAATAAATGCGTGAAACAAACAGTACCTATACAATTTAATACTAGAACAAAATTATTCACAATACAATATTCTTTTTTTATTTGTATTTTTTATTTTGGTAATTTGTTCCACATGATTGTACCCCCCCAACACCGCTGTATTTTTTTCCCCCACTACACTTCTAAATTTAAATAAACTAATATTAAAATCCCAACCCCTACCAAATAACTAGGAACTATGTTAATTAAATATTTTACGTAGCATTCCCAGTTTTTAAAAAAGTACTCCTTTCATTAAAAGTTAACATGCTTAATTGTGCTGTAAAATGATTTTTTTATTATTATTATTGATCCCATTTATTAGTTTATTTTTTAGTAGGTTTTTGGTAATCAAAGGCTGTCTTATTAATTCAAATGATAAAACCTTTTTAAAAATAATTTTTATTATATAATTTCTTAGGGAATTTAATTATATATATATATATATATATATATATATATATATATATATATATATATATATATATAATATATATATAAAAAAAAAAAAAAAAAAATATATATATATATATATATATATATATATATATATATATATATATATATATATATATATATATATATATATATTTTATTTATTTTTTTTTTTTTTATTTTTTTATTTTTTTATTTTTTTTTTTTTTTTGGTCATGTAAATGTTTTTGTACATGCATTTTGTGATATTTTTGCCCAATAAATTCTTAAATTGCTCACTTGGATGGAAAAATACTTTTAGAGCAGTCCTAAGTCACCAAGTTTTTTGCATCATGAAAATCTAATGTCCCAGTAAATCTGCAATTCACATAATATATTGTTAGAAATTAGTTATTCAGAGATTTTAACATCCAAAAAGGAAAATCCTACAAATGCATTTGTGATTATATCAGACACAAAGGTTTATCCATTTTTTTTTTATTTATTAAAAAAAAAAATAAATTCTTTATAAGTGTCATGCATGTATAGACCATTTTGAGGCATGTAAACAAAAAACAATGGTCCCATACATTTCCTTTTACACTTTATTTTATTGTTTATCATTTTTATATAGATATTTATTTCTATAGCTTCAGAGAATCCACATATTGATAAACAATGTTATGATAGCTTTTCTAACATTTAAGTTATGATTGAATTGCGTCTTGTTACAGTTATGAAATAGTTTGATAACAAGCAGGTTCATGGGCAAATTACAAGACCACATTGAAGAAATGGTCTCAATTAAAGGTACACAAATGTGTCTTTAATATAATAATTCATACTGCAGTCAGTTTGGAAATTTTGTCCCTTCCAAATCTTTTCCACAAAGTCTCTATTCCTGAAGAGGGCAGTATTGCCTAACAAATCACCACAATGTTTATTTTAATATTTTTCAGATCTTGCTAGGAATCCAAGAGCTCCTAAATGAACCAAATATTCAGGATCCCGCACAGGCCGAGGCATACACGATTTACTGGTACGCTCCTCCGTTTCAAACTCGGCAGTCCTGCCTATCGAGACCCCAGATGCTTATTGCCTTGCTTATGAACCTTGTGTTTGCATTTCTGTTCCAGCCAAAACAGAGTGGAGTATGAAAAAAGGGTCCGAGCACAAGCCAAAAAGTTCTCTCCGTAAACCTCAAGATTTTCACACTGTAATGGAAATGGGTTTTTGACCAGGTCTCCTCACCCCGTCACACACACATACACACACACACACACTCTCTGTCCCCACACCTTTTACAAATCATATCCACTTCATACTAATTTACTGCTGGGCTTAAAGAAATGAATGTGTCGTGCCATTGTTGATCCACTGATGCTCGTCCTGACAAATTTATTATTATTATTATTATTATTATTAGGGGTTTTAAAATTTGGCCTTTTGTATAATAGTATAATTTCCCTCCCCCCTCTTGTTTGCGCAAACCCACAACCAAGGAAGTTCACGCTAGATTTGTGGCTTATTTCTTATTTTATTATAGTTTCATTTTGTGTGAGTGAGGTTATTTGGAAACAGTGCTACCTTTTCCAAAAAAAAAAGGCACAATAAACATCCTCAACGTACAGAATTGATATTCCACAGATGCAGAGGTATGAGCCTAAAACAGCTTTTTTTTTTTCCTTCTTTCAGACTGGCCTTTAGTCTCCTTCATGGTTTTAATGATTTAAAACTCGCTATTAATGTCAGTATTTCGACTGCTGTAAAATGATACTTTTATACTTTCTTTACTTTTGAACTAGTGTCTGTAGAGGTTTTTCTTTTCCATTCCTGATGCAGGCAGTGTACTAAGCATGTACCATTCAGTATGATAGCATTGTGCTGCCTCGGCCGTCTGTGTTTCACTTTAAAAAAAGAAAAAGAGAAAAAAAAATAAACATAAGTAAAAGGCCTCTGAATCAAATGGTTAGTTAACCGCTGCATCAGTCTCTTTGTGTTTATACGGTGTTTTGTTCATGTAAGTGTATAGAGTAAATAAAAATGTTTATACAAATCCAGTGGCGAATGCAGGTGATTTCGCATACTTCGTGTGGGGGACTTATTCGAAAGGTAAGTCTTTTTGTGCTGCTCCATGTTGGAAGACATAAATTCTTGTGCTTTTTACACTGTAATGGAAGTAAATCAATAAGTGGATCCTACCTAGCATTCTTGATTAATTAACATTAAAAATGCAGTTAGAAATATGCATTTTCTCATAAAAATATAGACCTTGTTATAAAATAAAAAAAGGCCAAGCTTTGTTGGTATTTTAGTAATAGATGTATGGAAACATTTTTTGCTATGCATTAAAAGGCAATAACAGAACCACTAAATATATGAACTTGCGATGACCAGAAGAAAAGAAAGAGGAAAAAAAAAATCCCAGGATTGCTGTTTATAATGGTAAGTAATATTTTAAAATCCTGTGGTGGTGACGGTAGTGCTAAAGCAATGCGATTTATGAAATTAGTATTTTAAAAATGTGACCCTGGATCTAAAAACTAATTTAAGTGTAATTTATTTTGGATTTTGAAATTAATGAAAGTTTAACGAAAGCAAAATCCAAAACTGTTTAGCCCTATCTGAAACAATTCGTCACATCTGGCTTCAACTTCTCTAGCCACACCCAGGCCTGATTACTGCTACAGCTGATCACAAACAAATTACTTCAATAACACCTGCCTGACAAAGTGAAGTAGACCAAAAGATCCTCTAAAGCTAGTCATGATGTGGAGATTCAAAGAAATAAAATAACAAATTTGAAGGAAAATTATTGAGATCTACCAGTCTGGAAAAGTGGTCTACAGATGACCACAGTGAGATTCATTATTTACAATTGGTTAAAACATGGAACAGTGGGGAACCTTCCCCACCTAAATAATCTCAAGAGCACAGTGACAACTCATCCAAGAAGTCAAAAAACATAAAGACTCTACAACAACATCCAAACAATCTCACTTGTCTAAGTTAAGGTGAGTGTTCATGACTCCACCATAAGAAAGACTTGGAAAAATGGTTTGCATGGCAGACTTCAATGATTAAAACTATTCATCAGCACATGTTTTACACAGTGGATGCCCTTCCAGCTGCAACCCATCTCTGGGAAACCCCCATACACACTCATACACTATGGACAATTTAGTCAACCCAATTCACCAGTACTCCATGTTTTTAACAAACGCGGGGACAACATGCAAACTCCACACAGAAACGCCAACTGACCCATCAGAGTCTCGAACCAGGGACCTTCTTGCGGTGAGGCGACAGCACTACCTACCGTACCACCGCATTACTTGATGAAAACCACTGCTAAGCAAAAAGAACATAAAGGATTGCCTCTTGTAAAAATGTCTTTAAGACAAAGGTTGAACGTTTTGGAAGGTGTGTGTGGCGTAAAAGTAATTGCATTTTAGAAAAAGAAACTGGAAGAGTTGCTGTGACAAATGGAACCATTGTTATAACAAATTATCCCAAAGGAAAATCTTTGGCCATCTGTTAGTGACCTCAAGCTGAAGCGAACTTGGGTTCTGCAGCAGAACAATGATCCCTGCCCTAAATCCAATTGAGACGCTGTGGCATGATCTTAAAAAGGCAGTTCATGTTTCTCCACAGCAACTTTAACAAACTCAGTGCAAGTTATCAAAAGTGCTTGATTCCAGTGGTTGCTGCTGAAGGTGGCCCCAACCATTTATTAGGTTTAGGGGCAAACACTTTTTCATACAGGGCTATGTAGTTTTATATTTTGTTTTCTTTTAATAATAGAATCTGTAAAACTGCAGTATGTGTTTACTTGTGTTATAACTAATATTTACATTTGTTTGATGAACTGGATCATTAAAGTGTGACGATCATGCAAACTTCAGTAAGGGGGCAAAGACTTTTTCACTAAGGGGGCAAAGACTTTTTCACACCACTGTATATTTCAGTACACCAGGCGTGACCAACCCTGTTTCTGGCAATCGACCTTCCTGCAGATTTCAGTTGCAACCCATATCAAACACGCCTGCCTGTAATTATAAAGTGTTGTTCAGGTCCTAATTAATTGGTTCAGGTGTGTTTGAGCAGGGTTTGAGCTGAACTTTGCTGGAAGGTCGATCACCAGGAGCAGGGTTGAGCACCACTGCACTACACTAACAATAGTTAACAAATACAAAACAACTGATAGTTTGTTTGGTTATGATAAACCAGTTGGAAAACTGCTGATCGGTAAGCTAATTTGTGATTATTGATGATAATATGAAAATGTATGAATATATATCATATGTGTTTGTATTTTTGATTCAAACATTGCTTTCAGAGATCATCTTTAAAGCATGATCATCCTGCATGATGACTTCAGAACTGCAAGATGATTAATTTTCAAATATGTAAAAAATACATGTTGCTTTATGCTTACAATATCAGTTTTCTTACAAGATACTTGATGGTCATATTGGTGGTCAAAGCTTTGAGAATCACAGCTCGATTACTGATGATGTAAAAAGATGTTCTTGTTTGCGACTCTAGGCACTAGCAACACGTGGACTTTACAAAAATAATGCAAACCAGCCCTTTGTAACTTGGAACTGTTAAGCTGACTTAATTTTTATTATTATGCTTATTGTACTCACATTTTTAAAAGTCAACTAATCCTGTTTTATACTGTCATACTATTTTAGCACTTCTGTTTTCAAATAATTACTGCAATTTTTACAAAATGACATATTTGGTGCTTCATTAAGTCTATAAAATCTACAATTAAATTTAGAAGACACTGGAGTCTGGAAGAGTAGATTTATTTTAGTTACTGTCATTTCGCCAGATACAGAAAAGCTGGAATAAATATAATAAATGTGCATTGGAATAAAAGGGAATACAATTTGCAGAATTATAAAAATTGGCAACTTAACAATTCCAAGTAACAATGGGTTTACTTACATTATTTTTGTAAAGTCAACTTGTTTCTTTTAAGGCAATTAGTTTTCTCGCTTTAAGTAACGAATCACTTTTTACAGTGCATAAGCTTACTATTAATGTTTTTTTTTTTTTACAACAATAGGGTATATGCCAGAGCATGCTAATAGGACTTTTAATTTGCCAGTAACCTGGGTTAATCGTTTACGGTGAATTGTATGCCAATGCAAAATCGGCGCGTTTAAGGTCTGTTTTCTTTAAAAGTGAGCGATCTCTACTGGCTGAGTGATATCTGATATAAAGCTTGTCTCAGATTGTACAAGAAGCACTGCATTAAATTACATTTCCCCCCGCCATGTCTTTATAATATGAGCATTTATTTTACCCCAGTATATTCAATGGAGCTTCTGCGCTAACCTGCCGATTCTGACGGGCGCGTGCGAGCAAATGGCTTTTTGTCTCGTTTTACGCTTTAGCAACTAAATGAAAGTCTGTTTAACTGATTGTATTTTATTTACATTACAACATCGATGCTAATAAAAATATGTTTTAATATATTTACAGTTCAGGGAATTTGCTAAATGTATTCATGGAATATGATCTTTACTTAATATTTTAATGATTTTTGGCATAAAAAAGTACTCACACAATATATTTAGGCTATTCCATCAAAATTGATTGATTATGTGCTTTCTGTAATAGTAATCTAACAGCCTGTATTAAACGGTAAGTGTAACAGTGGCTTGCCCTGAATTTGATCAACCACCTTTCATTGAAATGAGATGTTAAAGCAATAGAATTTCCACGCTAATTATGTATTCTTCCTCACAGAGGGATTTAATCGCACCGACATGATCTTGCGAAGCTGTTCATTCCTGTGAGCTTGTCAAGACGAGGAGAGGGAGAGAGAGAAAAAAAAAACACTGGATTCCAGGCTTTTCATGGGGGTCAGCACAATTATAAATATGAATATGGTTTCTACTGCAGGAGTTGGAAGGAAGCTGGCTAGAAACTATTAGCAGGGGCTGGTGTCAGTGCAGAGACAGAACGAGGCACTTAAGATGCTATTCTGCTAATTGCAGGAGGAGGTTTCTGGAGCGCAACTTCTTGGTAATTACCGGTCTTATTTAATTATTTGTGAAAACGTATTTTGATGTTTCACAGTTTTTTGTTTTTTGCTAAATGCACTTCAGTGTAAGTTCAAAAATCACAGCATTAGTATAAAGCTGACACTATAATTGGTCAAACAGTGGAAAACATGTTGTTTTTTTCCAATACTGTATAAACAGTTTTAAAGGGATCATTTACAAAACTACAGAAGATATATTAAAGAATGTTGGAAAATATTAATGATTGCATACAGTGCTCAGCATAAATGAGTACACTGCCTTTTGGAAATGCATATTTGTATTAATTTCTCAGTAAATATGGGCAATTTTGGGGTACATTTAAACAAAACAGTTCTGCTAAAGGTTATTAGCCATTACAGTTTTTTTTTCAAATGCTTTGGCTCAAATCTCAATTGAAATCTTGATTTTTCAAAACAGAAGGTTAAGGTCTCCGAACAATTAGCTTATTGTTCACTTCAGAGTAGCATTTATTGTTGATTTATGCAAATTGCAAATGCTTTGGCACATGTGTGCAAACAATTGCCTGTAGATTAGTCAAAAACTAATAGCATATGGCTTGCTGATCAAAACTGATGAGTGGATTCTCATTGAAACCGTCAAACTCTTCTTAACTTGTCAATAATTTTTCATCATGCGAGCCACCACACTCAAAACTATTTCTTCAATTATCAAACATTTGTGTACACCATAAATATCTGATATTGTTTGCAATGTCTGCTAAATTGGTAATTGACTGCTGGTTGCAAATACAATTGGCTTGTTTGGTAGTATATATATATATATGTTCACAAGTTTGGGGTCAATAGGATTTTTAAATGTTTTAAATTAGCGTCTCCTGCTCACCAATGCTGGATTTATTTCAGCAAAAACACAGTAAAAATGGTAAAATTATGAAATGTTATTGCACTATAAAATAACTGTTTAAAAGTAGTTTATGGTTTAATTTAATAATTTATTCCAGTGACTTATATGATGAATTTTCAGCTTCATT